GTCCCTTCTATTTTATATTGTTGATGCTCACCTTGTGCTCTGAAGATGATAGATTAGTTTCGCTGACTGTATCGCATGTTCGTTTGAAATTTTTAACGACATTACTGTAGAATGTAGATCGTCATTGGAGGTATGGATTGACTGCTTTGTGCTACGTTCCTGGCTGGTGGCTAGCAGTTCTGCAGACAGACCGAGCTATATGGGACACAACTGGGTGGGATGAAGTCAATCCCATTTACTCTAAGCCGATAATGTACGTGGAGTAATAAAAACAAGAAGCATTACTCGATGAAAAATGCCTCCCCCCACCTCCCTCTCCTAGCATTCTTACCGGTGTAGGACTGCAACAGTTCAGTGCATTACATTTTCTCAGTGTGATGCAAGTCTTTTAAATGCCGCCCCTAATATCTTCGCGCTTTCAGATCAAAAGTCAAAATGTAGTTTGATTTCATGGCTTATGCTCCCCCCCCCAGCCTCCTTACGGTGCCGCCTGATGCGGCCGAATCTCTGCATCATAGCACGGCACTGTCCCGGACTGCAGGTTACACCAGATTGATGTAGACGTTACAAGTGACCCATAGTAACCTCTATGGAGGTTGAACACGTATACGGGGTTTGTTCTGTTGGCTTGCCATCCAGACTGATATTTTGTAGTCTCAGGGTGTCAAATCTTCATCGCCATCATCATCCCGAAACACAGCGTGTCGCTGGGTCACCAGTTGCTGTAGCTCCCTCCACCTTTGACGGTCAGGTGCAATGAACTTCAAAGCTGCATGCCTAAGGACTGTCCAGACAGTCAAGTTATGTATCCAGGTCTTTCTTGGTCTGTCTTTTCTTCTCTTCCCCTCTAGTGAACAATATAGTATTGTTTTTGAGAGGCTGTTAGATCTTGTTGCATGTGGGTACCACTGTATTTAGGGGGCTGCGTGGTCTCGAGGCATGGTGTCCGCCTAGAGTGCTAGAGGTTCCGAGTTTAATCCCCGGTAAGGGCTAGGATTTTTTCACGTGGATTTGGACTTCTAGCAATTCCCTCTGGTCTCTGAGTAGTGCGATTGTACGCCTGTCCATTGGCAGTTGGATATCGAAAAGAGTAGTCTAATGGCGCTGTCCGGGCAAAAATTTAGAATTAATAATCTACCCAAAGTATTTGAGGATCCTCGCCGGTGCTACAGAGCCTGTGCACTGTGCTCAGCTTCTTCGGACCCAGACTTGAGTTAGTAGAAGAACAGAGAACTCATGGGTTACACCCGTGTGCCATGATGTTGATTCTTTTTTCAAAACCTAAAACCTAAAAAAAAAAATACTATTGCATTTTCAGTATTTTCACTGTGGTGAAAGGAGGTTTATAGTTGTCAACATGCTGGGCAATTGTACGGCGAACCTCGTCGTTTATGATGTATTCTCTGTATGATATGCCAAGAATATCTCTGAAAGATTTATTTTCCAGTGATTGTATATTTTCGAGTTCAGCTGTTGAGGTACACGATTTACAGCGTCATGTAAGTAAAAAAAAAAGTAAAGTTCCCTTCTCACGCCTTTCGGCGCATCGGGCATATGGGCAGAGCGTCCCATATTTTTACAGACCATCAGCACTCTGTGGGTAATGATGTAATGTAAACGTACTAATAACTGCCCTGGGCAGTTGAAGCTTAGTTTTAAATGACATGCCTCTGGATCTCCATAATATTTGCTGATGTCTGGGCAATCTTAGACATAACTTATGGCCAGGGCTCTAGTCACTTAAAATGAATCCTAAATATTTGAAATGACTAACTTCTTCTTCTTCTGCGTTCATCCGAAGATGTAATTGCGTTGTGTCTGTTTACAGCATGGCTTCGATATTTGCACCTTTCGGCCAACACATCCGACTTCTGCTGGCATTTGTTGACCGGGTTGGCCTTCCTGGTTAAATGACTAACTAATTATAACTTGTGACCTTTGACGTACAAATCTTCTTAGTAACATAAAACCTAAACAAACGATCCTTTTTTAACCCCAAAGTGATAAAGATGACGAAGAAATCGTATTACATTTCTTCTGCAGTTATTTAAAAAAAAAATTGTTAAATAACTGATAAAAGCTGATGGAAAAGTTTGCTCGTTATTTGTGTGTTTCTACTTTCTTCAAGCTTCCAATGCATTAGCGGACCAGATATTCCCATCTAGTGAGGATCCCTGGTGGTCTGCGGAGTAAGGGATTCGTGAGATCATTTACTTAAAAAAAGTGCAATCCTTCTTACGATTCTGCCCAAACTGCCAATTACCCCCTTTATTATCCCACTTTTACGGTGTAGGCGGGGGAGGGGGGGGGGGTCTTTAAGCCTGAGGTTTTAAAGCCGCATGGCTAGTGCTATCGCCACGACTGTGCAGGTGAGGTTTTTTTCCCCCTCGGTATAAAAAAAAAAAAACTACCCTGAACGAGGATTTGAACCAGGGTCTCCCGCATATTCTAATATTTATAAATTATAAAGTTTATGTTTTTCTTTCAGAATGACTATTTAAAAGCGTAGGTAACTATGAACCTCTTAAAAAGTTAAAGTAAAGGTACCTCTTCCACGCCTTTAGGCGCATAGAGCATATAGTTCCAGATCTATATTTTTATAGACCAATCGGCACAAGAAGGGTGATGTGGTCAGCATTACGCCGGTCGCCTTTACTTCCCGGGACTGCACCCACTCAAGGCTAGGTCGACCTGGGAGTCAAGGTCATTTTTGAAAAAAGTCAGGCTCCGCCAGGGAGCGAACCCAAAATCTTCTGGATGATGATGATGGTTATGTTGATTATAAAGCGACTGGGGTCCGTGGAGAATCTTCACAAATAGAAGACGTCGGCAGGTTTTAGCGGACTGAGAACCATTGCTGTAGACCAGTGATTCCCAAACTGTGCGACGCGGTGCCCCGGGGTGCCGCGACCTCTTCACATGGTCGCCGTGAAATATTTGAAGATACACGAGTTTTTGTGTGTGTGTGTGGGTATCTCTTACATTTAATAGTCATACTGTTACTTTGGTTAGGGCGCCGTGGAAAAATGTTAAATGAAAAAAGGCGCCGCTACTAAGACAAGTTTGTGAAACACTGTTGTAGACATTATTTTGACTTGATTCTTGTCTGACACTCGGTGTTGAGTTGAGTTAAGTTGAGTCAAGAATTGACATCATAGCACTCAGGGCATTCCCATGAGTGCTCCGTCCTCATCTTCAGCAGCCAAATCAGAGTTCCAATACTGATGTTACAGGTCAAAATCTGGTTATAGGTCCGTCTTGTTTTTGATTCTGAGTGTAGTGAACCGGCCAGACCTTCTGGCTACACAGTAGGGCCTCATTCTCTTTAGGAGATAATAATCTCGTTTTTCTACTGATTAGGTTGCTTGTACCCAAAGGGCCTTGACCACATCTACCACAGTCAGTCCGTGTTTAATTGTTCAGGAATAAAGACAGCATTCACACTACTTCTCGGAAGAATAGAACACTAAAAAACATTGATATTAATATATTCTCTTTAATAAATTTGTATAACAAACGAACATTACACAAAACAATAAGGAAACTGTAATGTTTTCTAAATATCTTTGCAATGCTAATATAATGTGGCTCTAAATAAATATTTTGCTGAGACACCGACAGCTTAGTCATACAAGAATTAAAAATACACATTCAAAACAGTGTTAATCCTACCCCGTGTGGGCTTCGGGGCCCTATTATAGGGAAAACAAGAATAGACCCACTGCCTAGCAGAACTTTCTTCGAAGTCGGAGTGCATCTGCCTGAGAGGCAAGGAACCAACAGTCTGCATACAAATGAGTCAGATCTGTCAAACGGATGCACATGCAAAACTCAGGTTCTGGAACAGGGCTGCCGTCCAGAAGTGGACGAACAACCAGAACTTTCCGACAGAGTTTACAGCTGGTGAACGAGAAGAAGGAGAAGAAGTGTTAATCCTCATCATCATCATCAGGTGCCTTGCCGACTGGCGTGGGCGATCATGCCTCTCCATAATCCACGACCTCCTGTAGCATGTATCAGTTCGTGTGCATACACACCTCCGTGCGTTAATATTATCTGTAAAAGTAGAACGCATGAATGCTTCTGAAATAGGAAAGTAATAGACATAAGAAGTTAAGACAACGAAGCAGTTAAATGTGTAAAACAGCTTAAACAATTAGCCAAAAAAAAAAAAAAAAAAAACTAATATAAGGAACACCAATGGCATCAACATATCAAATGGTTACAGATCTAACTGATTTCTATGCAGACTGTTGGTTCCTTGTCTCCTTGCTAGGGAGCATGTGTCTATTTCCTCCCCCATAAGAAAACCCCCAAACCCACAATAGGGTCCTTGAACTCACGCGGAGATAATGACCAACTACTCGAGTGTCTCATCACCTACAACTTCTTTTATTTTTACCTACACATTCATGATAATTTAACATATGGGTCAAAAAAAAACACATATTATTTCTTTTTTTTTTCATTAGAAACGGACTCTGAAATGAAACAGATGGACTGAGGAAAATACGAGGTGCAAGAGAAGATGTTAAACAATAAAGTCAGGCTTTGTCAGAACCTGAACCTCAACCCTTCGGATTTGTAGCTGAGCATCTATCCACTAGACCACGCTGGTTCTCTGATTATATGTAACTGTACAAACATATAAGACTCACATTAGACTATACACAAAGAAAGAAAAGTAATACAAATTTGTACACTTATATCAGTTGGTATACTTAAAAAAAGTGTGTACCCTTATATAAGTTTGAATACATTTATACGACTATACACTAATATAAACATTATGAATACATTTATACCATTTATACGACTACACACTAATATAAACATTATGTATTTTTTACACGAATGTCTACTTACATATAATCAATCTAATATAACACTGTATACTTGTATAAGATTTGACATAAGACTATATTAACAATAGTTTGTACATATCTGGTATAAATATAAATTACAATTATAAGACTGTAAACTTAAATAAGACACCGTTCTTAAAACAGACTGTCACCAGAGAGAGCAGGTGTCCCCTCCGCTACCAATCGGTGCACGAAGTTCTTGACCGCGGCCAAACAGGAAGTCTTTGAATCCAAACGAGAAATCCCACAAATCAACAAATTCTGCTTCCGGTGTGCCACCAACACATTTCCATCAGCCTGACCAATCAGCGTGTCCTTGTCCACGTGGAAACATCTGAACTTTGACCCCATGAGGAAGAGTCCGTAGATATTGGTGGAAATTGTGCTCAGTGATTTGAGGACGTTGAGGGCTTCCGTTGACGTCATGGTGGTTCCTTCGGTCTCCGCGATTTTTTCACCGGAGGAGTCAAAGATGACAGCCATTTTCAGCTGACCCTCCGTCTTGAAGTTTTCGATAATTTCTCCCCACGTCATCAGTTGCAGCATACTGTGAAAGAGGAAACATGCGTGTTTACAGAATCCGCATTAGAAGATCCTTCTCTGGAAATGTAAATTAAAAAAAAAAAAGATCCTATTTCATGAGTGGGGAAGGGGGGGGGGGGGTGGTGGTGAAGTGTGTCTGTGTCTGTGTGTGTGTGTGTGGGGGGGGGGGGGGGGGAAGACAGTTTTCCCATGTGGCTTCCGGGGCCCTATTGTGGGGAAAACAATTTTTGGCTGTTGCTATTTTTCTTGGTAAATTTTCCTTCTAAAATGGTCGGGGCATATTGAAAGAATGTCAGATGACAGAGAAGTAAAACTGTATACACAAGGAAGATGAATGGTCGTAGACCACGAGGCAGACCAAGAAGACGATGGAGAGATGATGTCCAGACAGACCTGCAAACATTTGGTGTCACCAACTGGAAAAAGAAAGCCCACCAGAGAGATGAATGGAGGCGGGTGATATCTGCAGCAATGAACCTCAAGGGCTCGGAATGCTGAAGAAAAAAATAGAAGAAGAACAAATATACCGTCTGTAGTCTGTCATTGCATCTGAAAGGTCTGTTCTGGATACCACTGTCAAAACCAACGCAAGGCAGTCTGCTGCCAAATCGCCCGCAGTTGAGATCAAACCCAGTACTACGGTATTACGAAGCACGTTCGCAATGCCTAAGCCACAGACGCCGACACAAAGATACAGTCAATATATTGATACAAGTACTATACTGAGTTGTCTATCTCTGTATTCAAGTAATATAACATATAGTTAACGACAACATTTGGGAGCACATTATATAACAAAAACCACATGTACACAAAATTCAAGATGGGTGTATCAGCCATGTGCACCTGTGGAAATGTGCACCAGACAGCAGAGCATGTACTCCAGGACTGCACCGATTTTGACACATTAGGGCAGACTTTTTGGCCAGAAAGAACAACAGTGGAACGTAAACTCTATGGACCACTAAATGAACTAACAACGACAGTGAAATTTATACAAGAGACAAAACTGCTGATATAGACAACTTATTTCAGGCGAACGAAAAAAAAAAAAGAAAAGAAGAAGACATAACAAATTGCTACCGTTATTTGATCTCATCTCTAAACACTTAAACAATATCATAGATGTGTATAAATGTGTGATGCACTTCATGTGTGTGTATGTGTGTGTTTCCCTCGGTGTATGATATAGTAAAAATTAGGCCGACCTACTTTACATCCCAAGACAAAGAATATCATCATCATCATCATCATCATCATCGTCATCATCATCATCAGGTGCCTTGCCGACTGGCGTGGGCGATCATGCCTCTCCACAATCTGCGATCTCCTGCAGCATGAATCAGTTTGTGTACCGACACACCTACATGCCATGCAACAAGACTGTCAAGCATCTTCTCTCATTGTCTTCCTCTATCCTTCCTTCCACAGATCTTTCCAGTGGTCACAACATGTTCTATTTTCCTTCTTCTCATAACATGGCCGAAAAATGATGACTGTCTCCTTCTGATGTTTGTGATAAGTTGTCTTCGGGCTCTCTCCTCTTTCAAAACCTCTTGGTTGCTCTTTTTGGCTGTCCAATGTATTCTAAGCATTCTTCTGTAAAACCACATCTCCGAGGCCTCAAGAAATTGTTTGGCATGCCTACCGATTGTCCAGGATTCACAGCCATATGTTAAAACTGGATGTATGTAGCAAGCAAGAATTCTTTTTCTAACTCTCAAGGACAAGGATATATTGCACAAGATGTTCTTCATTTTATAAAATGCAGTTTTTGCCTGTCCTATTCTGTTTCTTATCTCACTTATGCATCTTCCATCTGTTGTTATCCATGTGCCCAGATAATTAAATTTCTGTACTTGTCCCAAAATAACACCATCGACTTTTATTACACATTTAGGAATAAATCGTTTCTTTGATACACTATTACTTCTGTCTTCCGATTATTCAAACTGCGCCCATTTTTCAACGTTCTAACACCGCAATGTCTATCATTTCCTGTAGTTCTTTCTGACTTGTTGCTATCAAGACTGTGTCATCAGCATAACGTAAATTGTTTATATTGGGGACACCAACCACAATTCCGGGCATATTAATTAAAAATCTCATTATATATTCACTGTATATTGAAAGCAAATCAGGTGACATTACTCATTCTTGTCGTTCGCCCTTCTTGATTCTTTGAAATGTACCTAAACAGTTGTTAACTCTTATAGCTGCTGTTTGCTGCCAATACATATTCTTTTTTATTCTTAGATCTTTTCCATTAATGTTAAATTTTCTAACAGTTTGATTACTTCTTCATGCTTCGCACAGTCAAATACTTTTGTATAGTCTATAAAGCATATGCACAAACCAGTACTCCTTTGCAATCTCCAAGTACCATTGTTACTTTACAATTTTTGCATTGATCAACAGCCATGTCTAACTCATCATAAAATGCGTCAGTATCTTCCTCTGAACTATCTGCTGTTGGGCATAAATCTGTACTAAGTTGATGTCAAACGGTCTGCCGCCAAGTTTTACTAATAGTACTCTATCTGATATTGTCCAAAATCCTTTCAAGTTTTTGAGTTCTTTGGATCCAAAATAGTACTAACTCCCTTATTATATTCCTTTCCACCTAAGTAAATAATTATGTGCTGATCTGAATACTTTTCCCCTGCTCCTGGCCATCGCATTTCACTAATTCCTAATATGTTGATATTCATTCTCTTTATTTCCATCTTGATGTTTTCCAACTTTCCGTTTTGTACGAATGTTCTGAAATTCCATGTACCAATGTTCATGATGTTTCTACCATTTACTTTTTCTATAGTAGATGGGTGAGGATCAGGTATCACCCGTAGAACATGATGCTCCCTACCGGACGAGGTGATTCCACTGGAATACCCATTCACGTCGTTATCTGAATTCGTAATGTTTTGAGGCATGATTGACTAGGGATAATACAGCGGTATTTTCCCATTACCTTCCGCCGGTTTGTAAATAGTTTGACTCCAATAGCCTTTGTCTAAAGAGACTTACACTGCAAGGCAGCAGGATGGAGAGGTTATGGCGCCTCTTACCCGTCGATGGCCATGAGTAGAGTTTTGAGGTATTTTATAGAGTTAGCTGTCCCACCAACTAACTCGCCTCCTCTCAATGACCATCACCTGTTTTGGTCCACGGCCACTTAATCAATATATTCGTGGCCAACCTCTAAATCTAGAGGCCTTTCAACCACATGCCACCTGGTGGACGCGCCTTGTAGTAATACAGGCTCCTACCTCATAGATGTGTATAAATGTGTGATGGACTTAATATGAGTGTGTGTGTGTGTGTGTGTGTGTGTATGTGTGCGTGTATGTCACTGGGTGGATGGTCTAGTAAAAAATAGGCCGACCACCTTTACATCCGAGGGCATTACCTGGTACCGACTGAAGGCTGGGCAGACCTAAAACCTAACATACACTTTGAAGCAAAAACTCCATCTCGATGAGGATTCGAAACCAAGAACTTCGACCTGACACGTGACCTAGTCACTAAACCACCGAATTTCCCAGTTACATCCTTAACGATAGCATAAAGTAAAGCACCCCTTACCCCCGCCTTTAGGCGTATTGGGCACATGGGGCTAGACCTATGTTTTATAAAACAATCGGCTCTCCATGCGTGTTGTGGTGGACCTCAAACCGGCCCTCTTTATTTCCTATGACTTTACCTGGTACCTATTTAAGGCTGGGTGGACCTCAAACCGGCCCCCTTTATTTCCTATGACTTTACCTGGTACCTATTGAAGGCTGGGTGGACCTCAAACCGGCCCCCTTTATTTCCTATGACTTTACCTGGTACCTATTTAAGGCTGGGTGGACCTCAAACCGGCCCCCTTTATTTCCCATGACTTTACCTGGTACCTATTGAAGGCTGGGTGGACCTCAAACCGGCCCCCTTTATTTCCTATGACTTTACCTGGTACCTATTGAAGGCTGGGTGGACCTCAAACCGGTCCCCTTTATTTCCTATGACTTTACCTGGTACCTATTTAAGGCTGGGTGGACCTCAAACCGGCCCCCTTCATTTCCTATGACTTTACCTGGTACCTATTGAAGGCTGGGTGGACCTCAAACCGGCCCCCTTTATTTCCTATGACTTCACCTGGTACCTTTTGAAGGCTGGGTGGACCTCAAACCGGCCCCCTTTATTTCCTATGACTTTACCTGGTACCTATTGAAGGCTGGGTGGACCTCAAACCGGCCCCCTTTATTTCCTATGACTTCACCTGGTACCTATTGAAGGCTGGGTGGACCTCAAACCGGCCCGTTTTATTTCCTATGACTTCACCTGGTTCCTATTGAAGGCTGGGTGGACCTCAAACCGGCCCCCTTTATTTCCTATGACTTTACCTGGTACCTATTGAAGGCTGGGTGGACCTCAAACCGGCCCCCTTTATTTCCTATGACTTTACCTGGTACCTATTGAAGGCTGGGTGGACCTCAAACCGGCCGCCTTTATTTCCTATGACTTTACCTGGTACCTATTGAAGGCTGGGTGGACCTGGGAGCAAGGTCATTACCAATAAATTCCGGCTACGACATGATCTGATCCCACGACTTTCAGATCCAGAGCCGAGCTTCTATCCGCTACACCACAACACATTCTTAACCGCACACCAAAATATCCAGTTCGATTCCAGCTGCAGGTGATTCGGCAGTAGATCACCTTGCGTTGATTTCGACAGGGATGTCGAGAGCCAATCGTGCAGTAGGCAACGGCAAACTACTGAACGTAAAGTTACCTAGTACAACCAAAACAGCCAGCAAATGCTGGGGCTGGTTTTGTGACGAATTGTAGAGGATACACAACTAATTTACAATTCTAGCATAATTCATACATGCGTGCCCGCACGCACACATACCTGGACAAGGAACGTGCTGTTAAGTCAATTTGTCTGGCAACTGTCGATGATGTTTACATTAGATACATGTCTTTAATCTTTTTTACTGATTTTAATTACCTGCCAA